TCTCGGGGTCCCCTTAGGTGACTCAAGCATGAGGGAGCACGGAGGAAGGCTGAGCAGGATCGGGACAGAAAGCAGGTTCCTGGTTATTTTCACTGCCAGGTGGTCATAGTCACATGCATATTTGCACACAGCCTGGAATCCTGGGATGACTTCTTGTGTCTAAGGTGGACTGTATCCATTCTCTTACAGCTGCAAACACTGCCTTTTTAGTGCAGTCTCTAAGCAGCCAGACTGCTCCCTGTACAGCCTGAGCTCCTGGGCAATGGCTTGGAGCTCCGCATGAACACAGCAGACTTCTGAAGCAGGGCAGTCCCAGGGAGCAGCTGACTAAGGCCACCACAGGGGCCAGTTTGACATCTGAGCCTCTTGACATCTGTGAACTTGAGGAAGCCCAAGAGAGGGCCTAAGAAGACTCCTAGAGATTGGTCATCTGTGAGATGGCTGCAGGACAGAGTAGCCAACAAGGATGGGTCCAAAAGTCGACAGTCCCCGGGCCAATCAGCAAAGCCTCTGGACAGTCCCTGGGCCAATCAGCAAAGCCTCTGGAAAGAGCAGCCACACCAGCACGTGCACACAGGCAAGAAGCCACATGAGTACGGTAAAGCCTTCAGCCACCAGCCAGATGCCGATAAACACCAGAAGCCCCACGTGGCTAGCTGCAGGCTGGTCATTCACAGCTCTACCATGGTCCACCACCAGTGCAGCCACCACAGCCAGAACCTGAACCAGTGTCAGGACTGTGGCCGGGCCTTTGGGCAGCACTCCCGTCTCATCCAGCACCAGCAGATGCACCCCGGGAGCAGCCCTACACCTGTGAGGACCGTGGCTGTGCCTTCAGCTGCAGCCTCTTCCTCAAGTGCAGCCAATTTGGCTGAGCCTTCTGCACTGTCCAGTGTTGGCGTACTTTTAAAAAACTCTTTTATGTATGTTTCTTTTATCTTTTTCTCCCTACTCCACCCCAGTCCCTCCCAACACCCCAACAACAGGTAGGAGAGAGAAAGGGTTAGTCAGAGAGGGGACATGTTTTTTTTTTCTTTCTTAGCTGCTTCCTGCTGGTTAGGGTCGTCGGGTTCTTTTGGGGGCAATTCCAATATCACTGTCCAGAAATCCAGAAGTGCAGGTAACCAGCAAATCAGCAAACAGTAAATGCATCAGCAGGACGAACCGGCAGTAAGCAGTCCTCCTCCAAGCAGCTGCAGTCTACATTAGGCCAAGTGGCGTAATTTATTGTAGCTTTCTACAAGGGCAGAATTCTTAGATCCTATGGTAAGAGCCTCGTTGAAGGATAATGTGTAAATAGATGAAAAACTGATTCTGCAAATGAAAACATGAATACATAATTCTAACATTGCGATTCTAGTCAAGGTAGTCTGAGAAAGCACTTTCCAGAGCTTTCTCCTCTGAGCTTAGGTGGGACCCTGGCCTCTACCACAGGGTATGAAATATGGCTTTTGGTAGACATTAAGGGAGCAGGACACGGTGCACATGCTGTTAATTAAAGGAAAGAAACACCTTGGAAGGCCCCAGTGCTGAGGGCTGTTGGCCACTTTTCCAGGAGGCAACTAGAATGTGAAGGCAAAGAGCCATTTCTGTGAGATTTAACCAACAAACACAAGCTGCTGACACAGCAGTCATGGAAGCAACAGCAAAAGTTGTAAAGTCTTAAAGAGGAGATACATTTTAAAGCGTTCCTTTGATTTGAGATCACATCGGTGTCACCACAGAATAGCTATTTTAGAGGCACACAGGGTCCACAGGGTAGAACAAGAAGATGACAGGCAGGGTGCCTTTCTACAGCTCTGACTTTGGATCAGTCTTACTCAGGGCTATGCTTGGGTGGTGACAGCAGTCTAGTTTCTTCCGGCGTCAGCAAGTGCACACAGGCAAGACGCTGTTCTGCGGCTCTGAGTGTGGCTGGGCCTTCTGCCTGAGCATTCATCCCCTCCACCATCAGTGAGTGCACACTGCTCACTCAATTGCTTTGACCCAAAGGAAGCAGGTTGTAAGGCGGCACCCAGCATACCCAGAGCTACTCCCACATCACAGTTGTGTGGTCTCAGGTGACATGGAGAAGGACTAACAGTGAGGAAAAAATGGTCTGCCTCTGAAATCCTTAGTGTGTCTGTCCCTGCCCTAGACTCTGTTGGAGGAGAGCAGAAACTGGACAGGAACATAGTAAGGGCCTGTGACTTTGTTATTAGGGTCTTAGTCTGTTTCCTCTGCAAGTTAAAGAGTTAAAAGGCAGGAAAAATCCCAGATACACAGAAACAACACACTAGACACACAGAAAGATACCCCACAAAGTGTATGTGTTTTGGGGGATCTGGAAACAAAAATCACTTCCACCTAGAGGGCAGGAGTTTTAGGTGTTTTTGGAGGCCTACAATGGGTCCCCTTCCCCCTCATTTCGGACTGGTCAATTTAAAGAAAGGGGAATTGATAGGCCCACAGCTTCAGGTAAATGTGTTCTGAACCAGTCTTTAAAATGTCGGACCAGCCTGGACTGGTCAGCCAGGAGTCCTGCTGGCAGGAGAGAAACCTTTTGCTCGGGTCAGGAGCATGAGGAAGAAGTTTGCCATCTTTATCATTTATCTGTGGCCCCTCTCCCTATCTGTCAGGGATCTCTTTACTTCCTCATTAGGACCAGAGAGCACCAGACAGAAACTGCCAGTTTCCCAACAAAAGGAGACCTGAGGAGACCCGTGTCTAATTCCCAGGGCTGGTATGCCCTCTGCTCTGGCCAATGAGTCCCTTCACTCACCTGTGCAAAACAAGGCCAGTGACTAGGTGTCTAACGACCATTTTCACAGACAACTTACAAGTCCATCAAAGCATGAACTTGAAGCAAACAAAAGTAGAGTTCTTAAACTAAAGGGAGCCAGTTTGGATGGTTCAAGCATGCACTCCAGCTACCCAGGAAGACGAGGCAAGAGGATCACTTAAGCCCAGGAGTTTGAATCCAGCCTGAGTGGCAGAGAGACCCCTTCTCAAAAAAAAATGGGAGTGCAGAGGGACTGAAAGGAACCTTGCCATTAAATAAAGCATTTATTCACTTTACTTTGCCCATTCTAGCTCTAGCTCTCTCTCTCTCTTTTTTCTTTTTGAAGACAAGGTCTCACTATGTTGGCACTGGCCTCTCTGCTTGTAGACTCAGGCGGTTCTCTGCCTCAGCCTCCAGAGTCCCACAGCCATTAAAGGACAACTAAACAGCTGAGAGGTCTTGAGCTTGGAAGAATAGCCCAAACTGAAGACAAAGCCCGGGAAATTCTGTTACTAGACAGAAGGGGGCGGTGCAGCTCAGTGCGGCACATGCTCAGTGTGTGCCAGGCCCTGGGTTTGGTGCCACCACCATAAAACCACAAACAACCAAGACATGGAGAGTAGGTACTGAAAGAACAGGCCATCTCTGTAACTAATCAAACTGCTCACAAAGAACTCCGTCTTGAATTGTCTTGAACTTCAGACTTCTTTAAACTCTTGTGTTTCCTATGTAGATTGCACTCTACGCTGTTAGACAAAAAGATTCTTAAAATTCTGTGGGTTAACCCTTCTTCTGCTTTGTATAGTATTAGGATAGTGGGCACAGCATGTCTGTTAGAGGGTACTAGGGACCATCTAAAACATTTTTGGGTGTTACGGCCACAGCCCTGATCCAATTATTTATTTAATTTACTTTTTGAGATAGGTGGAGCCCTGGCTGTCATGGAGCTTGCTATGTAGACTAGGCTGACCCCAAACTCAGAAATCCATGCGCCTCTGTCCCGAGTGCCAGGACTAAAGGTGTACACCACCACACTTGGCAGCCCTGATGTTATCTATACCGAGTCCACTCGAAGACTTCTGACCAGAGACAAGACAAAATGGTGTTACATCTGAAGTAGCACAAACTCTAGCCGTGTGCTCAGTACATCGCACACTATGAGCACACAGCCTCAGTCTCCCTCAGTCACTCAGAGAGCCCTGGATGAGGCCCACCCTCTGTCCTAAGCAGTCTCCGCCTGGTCACATCCCACTCACTGTCCTGACCTAGGGTAAGTAAACCACTGGACCTGAAGAGCAGGGGCCACACCAGAGCAGAGCCTTCCCAGGCTTGTTCTCAAGCTTGCATTAGTCTGTTTCTCACTGACGGTCATCCTGCCTGCCTTCTGTGAAGCCAAGCCTACTTTGCTTTGGCTCCCTCTTGGGGCCCTGAGCCCTTCACCTGATGCCTTCATCCTAGGATTTACCTTTTCTTACTGTCCAAGCACAGTAAGGCTCCGGCATGGGGATGGCATGGGAGGGGCACGGGCAGAGCATACAGCAACTGTGGAAGAGCAGGACCCTGCTGGCTGAGTACTGTAAACTGTGGCTGCTACTGGCACATTACCAGCCACTGTGAGCATCCTGGGCCTGGAGGGTCACCGGCAACCACCACACTTTTCTGGAGTCCTCTGGGCTTGCCAGAGGACTTGCCTGGGAAGCTGGAACTTCACTTTAGTTCATGGAGTATGGTACAGAACTCCAGGGACAGCATTGGAGCAAAGGAGCAGACAGCTGCAGGGACACCCAGGCAACGGAGCACCGAAAGGACAATGGCCCCAGAGGACACAGAAACTCAGGGAGCAGGCCAAGACCTGGAAGAATACAAGGTTGGGCAACTGAGGTACAAAGACATGAATTGGGCGTGTTAGATGGATAGAGGTATGCTCAGTGGTAACGTGTTCTAACCATGTTTGAGCCCAGGAGTGCATCTCAAGCCCACTGAGGCAGGAACTGAAGATGGGCACTGGGATCTATAATAAGGTGTATCTGTAGCCTTGCGGAGAGCTAAGGTTTATGGTGACTGGTCCCAAGGGCCCCAGCCTTCAGGCACCCCCTCTCTCTTCTGCTCTCTCCTCCAGCAGAAGCCTCACCCTGGGGGGTGGGAGCAGCTGGTGGGGGAGTCAGGACATACTTGTGTGCTCCAAGGTTTGTGTTGTTGGGGCCTTTGTTCGATGTCACAACGACAAACACCTTCCCCCAACATTTTATTATAGAAAACTACAATACTGCTTCATAGAATGAAAGTTTCAGTGGCAAAGGGGCAACTTAGAATTCAAAGTTTTCACCTGCCTGGTCGAAGGCCCAGGCGAACCTCTCTCTCTGGGTCTTGTTGTAGATCTTCTCCACAGGCACTCCGAATCTCCTACACCTGTAGATAATGACATCAGTTCTGAGTCCCGAAGTATGATTTATTTTTTGTGCCTGGCCCTTTAAATGGCCCTATGCCCTTCAATGTCAGTTGCCTCTTGGACTTCTGGGAACAGGAGAGGCTATAAAAAGCCAGCAGAGGCTGAGAGTTGTGGTAGGACTGGGGAGAAGGTCTCGCTCTGGAGGTCAAGGTGTGGAAAGAGATGGTGTCCTCTGGACATCATCTGTGCCAAGATATCCTGTGCCATCCAGACCTGCTGTCCCGGCACCACAGCCAATTGCATCCCCTCCCCAAGGCCTGGCCTGTCCTCCATTCCCAGTGGGCAGGCCAAACACCCATGTGATTTAGCGCACACAGGGCACTGCCAGCCCCAGCCATCCCGAAGCTCAGAGGAAGAAGGTTTAAAGACAAGAAGACTCATTGTCAGGGACATCCAGTTAGGCAGTCCCTGTCACAGGACATTGTGCCTGGCACAGCGCCAGGTACAGGATGGGGCACCTAAGGGACTGTGCTAGGGCCTCCTAGAACTCCCACGTCACACACAGGCACAGGAACCTCAGGCCTACACACCAGGCGATGCTGATCCTGGGGTCCAGGTAGTTGAGCTTGGCAGTGCCCAGGGCCACCTGCTTGTTCTCCTCCTTGTCTGTGGCCTTCGTGCGCAACTGGGCCAGCTGTTGTTCCAGCTTCAGCAACCGCCGCTGCTTTTGAAGGTAACTGTTGGAAGAGGGGGTGCCTGAGCCTGCTGCTGAGAGCTGAGCACATGCTGCCTCCTCGGCCCCATCTTGACTTTCCTCCTGCAAATGGCCTTCTTAGCCTTCTGCAAGCACAAAGGGAGGAGTCCAGAGGTGGTCGGAAGGCCAAGGCAAGCCCTCACTGCACCCAGGGAAGCTACTGGCTCCACTGAGAAAGGGAGCTATGTCATGCCAAAAAGCGGAGCAGGCAAGGCTAAAGCAGGCAACACCAAAAGATACCTTTGTGACTAGGGAAGGTGTTTAGCTCTCTTTCCTGCCAAAAACAAATGGGACGGGAGAATAGGCTCAGCAGTTAAGACCACTGGCTGCTCTTCTGGAGAACCTAGGTTCAATTCCCAGCACCCACATGAAAATTCAGAACTACCTGTAACTCCCCAGTCCCAGGGGATCCGATGCCCTCTTTGAAGTCCACTGGCACCGGGCACACACACGGTGCCTGGACATACAAGCAGGTAAAACACTCATAGACATAAAACAACAAACAAACAAACAAATAAAAAGACTTATTAAAGAAAAGAACTTTTTTTAAAAAAGAGATGCTCCTTTTACCCTTCATTTTTCCCCCCCAGAGCTGAGGATAGAACCAGGGCCTCTAGCAAGTGCTCTACCACTGAGCTAAATCCCCAACCCCTCCCCCCTTGTACCCTTCTTACCTGCCCATGGCAACCCGCTAATAATAATCATGACACCATGTGATACTCTGATCCCAACCCTAGGAATCGGTGCTCCAGACACAAATCTGGCAAAATGGGCACTTGTGAAAATGCGCTGCAAAAGGCTGGAACACTCTGCACTTGCGGCTGGAGCCTTGGCGTAGCAGCCACCTGCTCCCTGACAGCCACACTCCAGCAATGATAAAACCGCTGTCAAGAGCACAAGTGGAAAGGCCAGGAGGCCAAGTGTGACCTGTGGGCCACCGTATGCGGGAAGCCTCATGCCCTGCAGAGCACTTCTGGGGACATGTGGGACATTTCTTAGCAGCTGTTCTGTGACAGCTGCATGCCTCACTGAATGCCCTTTGGTCTAACTGACATCTGCAGCATGCCAGTGTAAAAGACCTCAGGAAGCTTGTCACAAGGATGAGACTTCAGCAATATGAGCCATAGTCAGGCGGCCAGAAATGCTCAGGACATCGCAGAAGCACAAAGGACAGCGGGATGCCATGAAGAGCTGGACACAAAAAGTCTTATCACCAACTATAACCCTGGAACAACAGAACCCACCGGCTCCTAAGGGAATAAGAAACCTGGACAGATAGATGCCAAACAGAGACCAGACTGATCACTGAAAGCTTCTCCCAAATCGAAGGCCCCATAAACACATCACCGCCAGAGCACCCCACCAGATGCCTAAGGAGCCACCACCAGGCCTCAGATAGAGGAAGGAAACGTTTCCCAACTCATTTTCTGAAGCCAGCATTACTGTGATCAGGCTAGACAAAAGCATCCCTCCAGATACAGAACAAAATCTCCAAGGGAAGCCAGATCCCGTAGGCGTAAGGGGCTCAGATCAAAGCCAGGGGAATTTGCGAGAGCTTAACTTCTGAAGACAAATCAGTGTCGTTTACTGCATGGTTCTAAAAGGACAGACCCCCACCATCATTTCAGCCGAAAGAACACCTGACAGTCACCAGCCCCCGTCACGATCACACACACATATATACAGCCTGCAAATTCCGTGAGAAGCATCCATGAAAGCACACGGAGAACATCATACTGACGGCTGAAAGCTTTGCCTCTTGGGTTGGACATGAGACACAGTGACCCCCACCGACTATTAACGCTGTTCTGGAAGGTCTAGCCAAGTCAAGAGGAGGAAGCATAAGGCCTCCGTGCCAGAAGGGAATGCTCGAGCAACTCCTCAGGCATGGGTCGTGGCTACCCTGTCCACACTCAGATGTAAGCAACCATTTACAAGAGCAGGGAACGAGGTATAAAGATCACCAGCAGCCGCACTTCTGTAAGTCAGGGCGGGACAAAAGGCACCACAGCTTGGCTAGCCACCCACAGGATGGACCACAGGGCAGGCTGGCCTCTGGGTGGTGCCTGAAATCAATAGTCCACAAGGGTTCGTTCTATTCTCGCTCGTCAGTAGGCTCACTAGGCTCAACCTGTTTCACAGACGGACAGTGTAGTTTGTGCTGAGCCTGGCTTTCCTCCTTAAAGTCTGGGTCTTGGCTTGTGGCAGAGGGCTGGGGCAAATCTCGGAAACCCCTCAGATGGACGGTGTCTCAATATATGGCCCCTCACATGTCATCCCTTTGAGGTGACAGGAATAAAGGGAATAAGTAAGCAAGGAGCCTGGGTCCTCTGATATTTCCTCCCCTCATGAAATTTTCCCTTTGCCTCCCCTGCCTCCCCTGCTGCATGCTCAGCTCCTGTCATATTTGCTGCACCCTTGGGCATCAACCCAGATGTGCCCCTGAGGACAGGACAACAGTGGGCATCAAAGGTAGATTCACTTGGCTCTAGAGTCACTGAAACATGGTGGAAGTGACGCAGCAAGATAAAGGGCATAGCACAGTGGGCAACACACTTCCGCACACCCGGGGCCTGGACTCAATGCATTAAAGCAAGCGTAGGGAGGCTGCAGAGACTAAGAACACTGGCTGTTCTTCTAGATACGCAGACTTGATGCCCAGAACCTATAAGGCAGCTCACAACCATCTGTAACTCCAGTACCAGAGGATTTGATGCCCTTTCTGGTCTCCGTGGGCATCCTGTGCACAGACATACATGTAAGTAAAACTTCCATACACATAAAAATATATAATTAAAAAAAAGCAATGGTAGGCAGCTAGGCGCAGTGGCACACACTGTGATCCCAGCACTCAGGGAAGCTGAGGCAGATGAATCTCTGAGTTCAAGGCCAGCCTGGTCTACAAAGCCCCAGGACAGCCAAGGCTACACAGAGAAACCCTGTTTTAAAAACAAACAAACAAACAAACAAACAAAAACAATGGTGGGCCAAGATGTCAGGATCACCTGAGGAGGACCAGGGGTGGTGGCCCATGCCTCTGATCCCAGCACTCAGGAGACAGAGGCAGTCAGATCTCTGTGAGTTTAAAGCTGGCCTAGACTACAACATAAGAAGTTTCAGGCCAGCCAGTAGGTAGTGAGACCTTGTCTCGAACCCAAACAAACAAATGAAAGAGGGGTAAATGGCTTCTGTATCTAAATGCACAGAGACTGGTGCACCGCAAACATGCAAAGGCTTCAGCCATAATACAGACAGCTTGGCAGCATGAACAGTGCAGGAATGGGCGTGTTAAAGGCCACAGCTGCTTCTGTGGCCAGTGGGAAGGTTGGAACTGAAACCCTGAGTGTTAAGGTCTGAAAGGCCTCCCTAAGAGGCCTGACCATAGTTTTGCCTCCTGGAAGCTTTCGGGGAGAGAGACCAGGGGAGGATCCACCCTGAGCTCTGAAGTAGAGAGGTAGTGAGCTCTGGGGCTGGGCCACCTAGCAGCCAAAGGCTGGGGACTCCGGGCTGATATGCCTTCTCTGAGCAGGTCAGTTCTGACTCTAACATGTTGAGGTGCAAAGGGTCAGGACTGGCCTTAGCTCCAGGCCACCCCTCTGGAGTCCTCAATTCACAGATCTTCCTGTTGGTCCTGGTCCTGACCTAAACCTGACACTGCCTGATCTACCAACTTTGGGCACTTCTCTGGGGTCCTAAGCTGAGCACCTCTGCTGCCTGCTGGCTGGGAACCTAGCACTGGCCACCATGGGAAATCCGGAGCGGCGGCCTATGACCACTCCTAGCACATGGCTCCGATAAGTGCTGCTGCAGCACAAGGCACACCAGATGGGACTCGGCCCAGGAGGACTCGATGCTGAGGTCAGCTCCCTGCATGAGCAGTTTGCAGCCTCTGGCAAAGAGCCCGATGACATCCTGCCTTTCCCTGGGGAGGCAGAGTGGCTGCCAGACACAGTTTGCTCCAAATGGGACTGCTCACTGCATAAGTGATCAGGAGCGATGCCTGGGCAGGGCACATGGGCCCCCTTACACCTGGGAAATTTGGGAGCACGCTTGGCTTCACCCATGACACATCCTGCGTTCGAGTCACATCTGTGAGAACACTCTTGTCCAGATGTGGCCTCTGGATGGGAAAATAAGTACCTGCAGGGCCATACTTACTGAATGGGAATGTGGATCGTGGATCAAGGTGTGTGTGCAATGGGGGGGGGGGGGGAGTTGTGGTGGACAACAGCTGTGAAATTTAAGTGAGGAAGGGGCAGCACTGAGGTTCTGAAGCCACAAAGTGACAACACAGCCACAGAGAAAAGTTCACACCGAAGCCTGGGCTCAGCCGGGTGCTCTGCACGCTCCCCTGAAGCCGATCTTGGCCATGAGCACAGTGTGACCTGTTATCACCGGGCCCGAGGTAGCCTGGGAAACCCCTAACCAAACTAGCCATGAACAATCAAACGCAAGCTAAGAAGCCCATTTACAGCTGCATAAAAACACAATACTTAGCTTTCCCTTGAAAAACCAGAAATGTTTGCTGAGAGAGATTTATTTATTTATTTATTTATTTATTTATTTATTTATTTAAACATAGGCTCCCATGTAGGCCAGACGGCCCTGAGCTTGCTGTGTAGTTGAGAATAATCCTGACTTCCGACGCTCCTGGTCCTCCACCCGGAGCGCTGGGATTACAGGTGTTTACAAGTGTGTTGAGACTCAGTACCACACAAGGTAGCACCCTCAAATTAACCACCAAGCCCAAAACCACTCCTAAGTGCACGAGGGGCAGGGGGATTTCAAGTGTCCCCATGTAGCCAAAACAATCTTTAAGGAGAAAGACAGAGTTAGGTGTCTATAAGCCCAGCCCTGGGGAGGGTATGCCAGGGCTGTGAATTCGAGAGCAGCCTGGGCTACACGACGAGACTTTGCTTTAAATAAAAGAAAACAGAACAAACAAACAAAAAAACAAAAAAAGAAAAGGAAAGAAAAAAGGTGGAGGTCTCATTCTTACTGATCCTCACATTCACCCACCAGGACTGGGGCTGACACAGAAACATTTTCTTCACACACCAATGCCAGGGAGTCTGGTGTTCACAGGAGTGAGGCTGGACCCTCAGGCCCCAGATCAAAGCAAATTTGAGATGAGCCCAGGACTACTGTGACAGCTAAGGCGATAAACTGCACAGGAGAAAATGCAGGGAATCCAACTGCATTACAGAACCAAAGTGTTAGGCCCAACACCGACAGCGTGAGAGAAGAAAAACAAGACCCAGTGTGTGCACTGGGCAAGGCAGCCACACCTACAAGCCCAGCCCAACCTCAGAGAAGCCTGAAAGGACACGGAGCAGGTTGGGAGGGCAAGAGGGGCTGCTGATGGACACAGGACCTTTTTCTGAAACTGGCCATACATCTGTCAGAACTGTGTGCTGTGTTTTGCTTTTGGTCTGTTTGGTTTTGGTCTTTCTCGACACAGGGTCTCTCTATAGCCTTGGATGACCTGGCACCCAGTCTGTGGACTAGACTAGACTTGAACTCACAGAGTTCTGCCTGTCTCTGCCTCCTCGAATGCTTAAGGGGCATCTGCCACTGTGCCCAGAAGAACTGTACGCTTTGAAAGGGCGAAATATGTGCCGTGAAAATTAGCTGAACCAATTGCTCAAAACAAAAACCAGAAAGAACTATCAGCAGCTTGGGAGCCCTGCACTCGAAGAGCCTTCTGCTTGCAGCCTGCATCAGAGGCCACAGCTGCTCCATACAAGGCCCTGTAATCAATTACTTCTGTCTATGAGCAATAAAGCTTTCAAAAATCACAAAATCAGCTAAAGAAAAGCTTAACACCAAGGCTGACCACACCAAGACTGATCTGGGCTGGGCCCTGGCGTCAAGGCTTTCAAGACAGCACCCCCTACACATACCTTTTGGACTTGCTGTCCCCTCTCATCCTCAGGTCAGCTTCCACCTTCTCCAGCTCTACCTGTGCCTCGGCCACCTGTGCCTTCTTTGTCTCAATCTGTGAAGAAATAGACACTTGCACGGCTGCTTCTGTCCCCACCCAGACTTGTCCTGAGGACTTCTGTCCACAGCCCAACATCCTTTTCGGGGTTACAGCAGATAGAACCCAGAGCCTCACAGATGCTAGTGAGCTACTCCAGCTGCCACCCTTGCCCTGGCCTCACATTCTGAAACACCTCAGATGACACAGCAGCCTGGGGAAAGACCCCATGAAGCCACATGGGGCTGATCCTATCCTGTTCTGTAGCCAGGTGCTGAGTGGGGACACCAGGCTTCTAGGGCCCAACCGTGCCACTTGCACCACAAATTGGCTCAGTACCCCTGCTGCTCTAAACCAGAAAGTCTGCCCTAACCCTTCCTCAACCAGAACACTGGCCATCCTAGCAGGGAGATGGGAGGCCTCCAAGCCAGGTCCTCGGTTGCCCAGGATATGGCCCTAAACAATTCCAAGTCCCCTGCCCCAGCCCCCTGTGGCAAGTATCCCCACTCTGCCCTCCTGCCTTCCATGAAATGCCTCCCGGACCCAGAAAAGACAGGAGGGTGGAGCAGACACTGTGGGAACATTGACACGGCAGGCACCTTCCCACCTTTTTTTGGAGCATCTGCATCGACTTCTCGAAGGTCTTGGGAATTGCTCTCTGATGGTTACAGAGGACAGCCACAGCCCGGTTCGCCCGGTTGTAAGCTAAAACTTTGCAGGTTAGGCTGTCTTCAGCTGAGCAAAGACAATGACAACTGTCACTGTGCTGAAACCTGCTCTGAGCCTCCTGTCCTCCCTCCTGTCCTTTGGCAGTACTGGCAGCGGAGGCCAGGGCCTTGGCATGCTAGGCAAGTGTTGTATGGTGAGCTTCATCCTTGGCCCTTGGCCCTAAAAGCTCTCTTTCTGTTGTAAAACTCGCCTCTATGACACAGTCCCAAGGAAGAAGTCAATGATCTAAGATGTCCTACAAGCCATGGCCAAGTGGGTTTAGCCATTGTAATGGTGGCCCTGAGAGTCCTCCTCTTCATGTAGGGGCTGGGCTATGTCTTATTGGGGCAGAGGCAGGAACCCCAAAGTCATCCCAGGCCCAGCCATTTCCTTCTAGAAAGGTAACCTGGAGGCCCTGAGGCCCAAGGATAGGTGAGGCAGTGTTGTCTGATCTTGTGTAGGTCAGGATCCTCACCACAAGAACCCATAGTTAACAACACTGGGTGTTCTGAGCACAGTGAACCCCAGCTTTACTGAGCAACGGTCTCAGCAGCTCATCATCAAGAAACTGAGGTTCAGGATATTACGTCACTTCCGAGTCACCTATCTGCATGGCCATTTGCTCTCACACCACCTCCCACCTGAAGAATTCTAAGACCAGGTTGGCCACTCTTACAAGATTTACAAAACCATACCTGGAAACAGAACCCTGAGCTTTTTCTTCAAGGCTGGGCCTGAAGAAAAAGGCTTCTGGCTTTATACAGCAAGTTCCTCTAGAAAGGGCTCTCTACCCACATGCCCACCCTGATGCACGAGAATGTCTTCAGAGCCACACAGCTCACTGGCCCTAGGTCAGCCATACTGGCGACCTGAGTTTAGAGGGGGAATAGCCTGGATTCAACATTTAATGGCACTGTATCTTCACCTTGCCATGACCAGAGAGTTTCTGAGCCCATGGGTCTCAGTGTCTCCTTGAGGAAACTCTTGACTAGAGAGTGGTGTGTGCATGGGAGGCGGGCATCGTCCTTCATGGCTTTCTGTGCTAAGAGAAGGAAGGGAGATGTTGGGCAGGTTTTGTCCCTGCTGAGTGTCTAAAGACAGTGGAGGGACAAAGGTCCCAGGATGACAGCAGAGAAATGAGACCCGAAGCTAGGAGGGTTTGGAGGTACAGAAGAGGTCAGGAATGGTGGGGTGCAGAGTCTTGTGAGGAACCTCCAAAGTGAGGAAAAGAGGCAAGGTCCTACCTAGAGGAGAGAGGGTGAGGACGACAGCTAGAAGAGGCGGAGCAGGAAGCCTGACACCTCCCTGCTGGGGGCCGGCGAGGCCACCCCACTCTGGGATTGATTGACCTCATGCATTCTTCCTCCAATAGACAGCTGTGCCCAGCCCTACCTCAGCACATGCTTAGAGCAGGCCACGCCTTAGGCGGTTCCCATAGGGGACAGTCTGGGTAGCCCTCAGGGTCAAGGACCAACTCACCACAGGTCAGCACCCGCAGCTGCTCCTGCAGAGTAATAGAGGCATTGTAGGTCCGGAACACCTTGGCTGTCAGCCCCTCCATCAAGTCCTGCAAGTGCTTGTTCAGGCTGGAAGTCTGGGTACAGAGAAGAGAAAGGGGTCAGGAGACATAAGTTTCAAGGGCTTCTCTCAGCCTTCAGGAGGCGGTAAGGAAGGCTACTTTAGCTGTTGGGTGAGAACACAGAACACACTGGGGGCAAAGACAAGCTAGACTTGAACCCCCACTCCTTTCCTGGACTCCTTGTGCCCATCAGTGGTGGTTTGAATAAAAATGCTCCCACCCCATAGGCCCCTAGGGTGTGGCACTATTAGGAGGTGTGGCCTTGTTGGAGTAGGTGTGGCTTTGTTGGAGTAGGTGTGCCACCAGGGGCTGGACTTTGAGCTCTCAGAAGCTCAGCCTGGCCAGTGTGTCACTGTTAACTTTCTGCTGCCTGCAGATCCAAATGTAGAACTCTCAGCTCCATCTCTAGGCACATGTCTGTCTGGCTGTGTGTTGCCATGCTTTCCATCATGATGATAATAGACTAAATCTCTGAACTGTAAGCCAGCCCCAATGAAATGTTTTCCTTTACAAGAGGCGCCATGGTCATGGTGTCTCTTCACAGCAATAGAACAATGACTAAGAAATCATCCCTGCTTTGAAAATACATGCATAGTTGGGCCTGGTGCACACACCTGTAATCCTAGCACTTAGGAGGCAGAGGCAGGTGGATCTCTGTGAGTTCGAGGCCAGCCTGGTCTACAAAATGAATCTAGGACAACCAGGGCTACACTATCTTGAAAAACCAAACAAAACCAAACAAACAAAAACCACACATGCTTACAGTCAGTGCATCAAAAAGGTCATCCCTAGGATCCTTGTTCTGCATGAAGTGTTGAAGGTTCTGGAACACCTGAAACGGAGATGAGCACAACATAGCCATACTGAGACTTCTGGAGCAGAAGCCAGCTGAGCAGGAAGAAGGTCTCATGAGGGCAGCAAAGATCACATCATGCACACAAACAGAGGGGTGCATACACCAGGTCCCGGAAAGAGGTGATACCAGTACAGTCCCGGCCTACCCACTGGAACCTGTGCCTTTGTGCCTCCCAATCCAAGCCTGCACGCGGTCACTCACCACTGACTCACCCACAGCTGTGGTTAAAGCTGGGGCTGGTCTTCTGTGCCTCTATAGACCCACTCAGTGACTTTAGCAGACAGCTGACCCTGGCTCCCTCTTCAACCAGCAACACTGACTTCCATCCAGGTGACCCAGGGCCCTGTACTCCTGACCAAATCAGACACACCTAACATCATAGAGCCTCAGGAGGCCAGTCTCTCTCCTCCGCAGGAATTGGCATGAAGTTTCTCCTGGCCAGGCCAACTTGCCCAGAGAAGTCTGCCCATGCTGCACGGGACTCCCCTTGGATTTAGCTTTCCCATCCTGCCAAGCGTGCTGAGATGGCACCAAATCCTCTTTGGAACCTCGTAACGTGGCCTTCCGTGTAAACTGGGCGGCCACAGGTGTAGCTGTCAAGATGAGGTCACGTAGAGCACAGTGGCCCATGAGGATGTCACTGTGTAGGAGGAGACTATGGAGAGAAAGCAGCTGTGTTCAACAGAGGTGGAGCACAGCCAGCAGCCACATCAGGTCTCACGGGGCAAAAGCCAGGCCAGCAGGAGAGAGGTCTCAGAAGGGTGAGAAAAAGCCAAAGCATGAGTGGCACCAAGGGCAGCAGAGAGAGGCAAGGAACGGATTTTTCCCATCCTCCTAAGGAACCAGCACCCAAACCCTGGACTTGAGCCTCCTAGACCAAAACATTTATAATAGAGGGGTGTGTGTGTGTGTGTGTGTGTGTGTGTGTGTGTGTGGTGGTGGTGGTGGTGGTGGTGGTGTGTAAGCCCTGGCTGTGATGCCTCATCACACAGCCACAGGAGACGTTCGGGGGGTACAGCAAGGCCACTGCCAATCCCTGAGGCTCTGACATGCTCTGACAGCGGCCCCACGGTGAGCATGGTCAGAGAGCACTCACCAACTTCTCCACTGTCACGTGGTTATTGTAGCGGATGGAATCCTTCCCCAGGAAGTCCAGCTCCACAACATGCTCTTGGCCATCAGCCTGTGCGTGCAGTCGGACATGCTCCACACGGAGTGAGCAGCAGCCCACGGTGTCGGCCGTCTCACCCTCTTCCTTCTCATTTCCTGTCCGCAGCGCCAGCTAGACCAGGGGTTGACACTAGTCAGGGCTGTGGTCTGTGGCACAGGAGCACACGCAGAGCACTCATGCACACACAGGAATGATCCCTCTCTCTCACGCACACAAACATATACATACAATTACACATGCACACACATACCTATTTGCTGGAGGCTCCAGCTCCACGGAGAAGCCACCATTGTCCTTGCTGCCCAGCTCTCAAGGTCCCCACACCATGTCATACCTTATCGATAAAATAAAGGGCCACAGCCAGCTGCCTTTTCTTCACTTCTGGTGACTCCCAGTCGGCCTGATACTGAGCACGGATCTTGTCAACAACCCCCTTCAAGCGTCGAGCTACCTCATACTTCCGCCAATCCATCTCCCCCTAAGTGAAGACCACAAATGTCACTCCACGGCCCTACGAAGTGGTGGAGCAGGTGACGGGACACCTTCCTACCTCAGGCGTCCTCAGAGAGATGAGACTAGGTGAGGTGAGGGCTAGGGCAGCAGAGCCTGGACTCAGAAAAATGTGAAGTAACTCCGAGCCCCACTCGGGTTCCTGTTAGGCTGCAGCCACCAGGCCCATTGGCTGCCTGATCCTGGGTAATCTCCAAAGGTTGAAATAAAGGGGTGAAGAGTCTCCCACGCCTGCCACCCTGGAGTAGCCCAGAGGGGAGGGCCTGACACGTGCGCTCTGGGACGCAGGGCTTCCCTGAGAGACCATGCTCTCACCTTCAGCTTGGAGCTGGGGTTCAGTACGATGTACTTGAAGGAGTTCTGGATGTTCTCCGTCCATGATGCCAGCCACGTGACCGTGTCATCGGAGCGCACCTCTTTCCACTGGTGACCGGCTGGGGGCTCGGGGACCTTGGAATCCCTGCGGTGAAACGGGGGGGGGGGTGACTCTGGGTTACTTCCCTATACGTGTCCTGCAGGCATGCTCCAAACTCCCTAGACCAAAAAGAGCTGCCAGCACGCATACTCTCAACACTGAGGCATACACAGTGGCGTGTACACAGGCAACACGCACACGCACACAGACCAGTGTCAGACCAGAACAGAGTGGTCACTCGGCACACTCTGGGCAGAGAGCTCTGAAGCCCCAGCCCATGTGCCAGGTGGATGCTGCACACCAGCTGTCACCCAGGGTCCCTGGAGATGAGAGGTTATATGGGACCCACACAGGTAACAAGAGCACAGCGTCAGCAGAACGCAGCAAGCCCACACCCAGCGTGCGGGGAGGCATTTGGAAGGCCAAACACTGAGAATGTACGGGACACCTCCCAGAAGAGGAACCTCAGCCCGGCTCTGCCCAGTACAAGAGGTTCTACTGGGTGCAAGACCCAGGAGACACGGGAACAGTGCCTCGTGTCTCCTGTTATATCTCCACTGAGGGGTCCCACCCCAAAAGAGCTAAGGATAAAAATCACTTCAGGCAGCCAGGGTCCTGGGCTCGCCCATGAGAGCCTGGCTGGCTGAGTCCCACCTACCTGCTGCAGTTGATGACCACATCCTCTGGCATGACCCTCCTCTTCAACATTCCCATCTTGGGATGGTCACCTCGGCCACGGAACAAGCCAGGTGGCTCCGTCTTGAAATTGCCAATTTTTTCTCTGTGGCCATCTAAAATACAGTAGCCAAACTCCTGCTGAAGCTTCTCTGACTCTTCTTTGAGCTTCTAAGTTAAAACAATACGTGGGCATTAGGAGAGAAGCAGCTAAAACGGACCTACTTCCTGTGCTGACCGAGGTCCCTCCTGCTGCTGCTGCTCTGCTGTAGGCCTGAAAACCGCGGCTTTCCAGCAGGTGTGGGGAGCACAAGGAACAAGGCTCCTTGAGCTTCAGCTCGGCAGACGGGGCAGGGCAGCCTTCAAGGTAGGAGGAAATGAGGCAGGTTCTGGATACACCCCCAGATTCCCTGCAACAGCTAGCTAAGAAGCAGACAACTGAAAGGGAACTGCGTGGCAGGCTCCCATTAAATAGAGGGAAACGTGGAAAGAAGCAGAGTGGAGCCAAGCTCACCCCCACATTCCTGCCCTTGGCCCTCTGCCACTCCTGACATTTCAAACAGTAGTGCCCTTCCAAATGTGCCCCAGGAGAATGGAATCATACCCCAGCCACACTTAAGAAAGGGGGTGCTACTTGAAATTACTTGGTATCTGCTATGATAGCACCCAGAACCTGGTCCACCTCCTAAGGCCTCTGGGGAGGAAGGCTCTGTGAGGGGCTCCCTGTGGCTTGCACCCCCCAGCTCCTTCCCAGAACCCACTGCCAACCTGCTTCTGCTCCCTGGGCAGGGTCTTGCGGGCCTCAGCTTTCTCCATGAAGTGCCTATGGATCTCCGTGAAGTCACATTTGTCAAGGTGTGTGATGAGCTTCCTCTCCTCAGCTGTCATTTCCTGTACCAAAACCGGCAACATGTGCTCAGTGCTCTAATACAGGCCTTTCTGTGGCACAGGGAGTCCCTGCTTGTGGCCACAGCGCAGGGTCACTGTGACAGAGTGCTAAGGCCATTCCACTAGATCCTCAGCCTCCACCAGCTGCTGTACCAGAGGCCCAGGTGTACATGGAGCCCTGGGAATAAGTCACGTGGCCTCAGCTGGAAGTAGCTCCCTCAGGGCTTCATGACAGAGCATGAATGTGTGACAAGGTAAACCCAGGACAAACAGGGCCAGTTAGGGGACAACACGTGTAGTCTCAGTTTCAGACTTATGGCCCTGACTCATATCCTGAGCCTTGCTCCTTCAGAAAACAGCCGAATGAAATCCCCAAGTAAGCCCCTCAATCCACATTCTTCCCCAAGGCAAGGCCTCCCATACCCCAGCCATCAGGGGCCAGAGATTCTGCTGATGGAGCAGCCCACCCCAGACATGCTCCCAAAGACAGAACCGCACCACCCTGACTCTAGCCAACAGTAATGGAGCTTGAATACAACTCCAGCAGACGCTAACCCTAAACCTGAGTAATGGATTCTACCAATATGACCTCAGGGTGTGGTAGCATGGGATAGCCAAGGACACCCCTTTCCAAATGTAATTTAACATTTCAGTTAATGAAAGTGGTAAAATCCCTGACCCACTAGCTCCAAGTTGGAGATCCCATCCCATGTAAATCATCCATGTTGGTATGATGACAACTGTACCTTAGGGACAATTAAAGAAGAAAGCTATAAAGCTCCAGCTTAACTACAGCAAACTCGCTCAGTGGAATATTAAAAATTAATTTAAAAGTCTATACATGCTTCTCCAACAAAACACCTAAAGCTGAGTCGTTTTCCACAGTCCTTGAAGCTGGGGGCTATATCTCATTTGATATTTGCAGAGAGCCCGATCTCTGTTTCTATGGAGGAAGAGGCAGACAGATAGGAGGGCCTGGTTAACCCCCTCCCACCCCTCACAAGGCAGGAGCCCACCTGACAGGCAGAGCCCCCAGGGCCTGAGTACCTCCAGGAGGACCCATGTGTTTGATTAAAAATATTTTTAAAATTTTTCCAATCTTTTGTTGTTGTTTGTTTTTCAAGACAGGGTTTCTCTGTATAATAGCTTTGGCTGTCCTGGACTTGCTTTGTAGATCAGGCTGGCTTCAACCTTACATAGATCCACCTGCTCCTACCTCCCAATTGCTGGGATTAAAAGCGTGTGCCACCACACCTGGCAAGATTGATTTTTATTTTTAACTGTGGGGGTTGTAGGTATGTGCATGAAAATGCATGTGCCTGCAGAATCCAGAAACTTCAGACCCTCCGGAGCTGGAGTTACAGGCAGTTGCAAGCTACCTGATGTGAGCGCCAGGAACTGAATTCAGTAAAGCTATACACTAAGCCATCTCTCTAAACACCCCCCCCCCCGTACCACTTCTAAATATTAATGCAGTGGACATTACATCCCAGGGGAGAGTTTTGGAGAGAATGTGGAAATCACAGCAGAACCTAATTTGATGATTCCAAGGCAATTTGGGAAACTAAGACACTAAAATGCTAGGTGGGAGAAACATCATTGGTATACTGATTACGATTGTGCATTTAAATCTAAGTGTGAAGAGACACAGATGCAGACGTGGAAAGGGGAAGCTGGCTTTCTCCCCTCTCCCACACCTCACTTCCTCACCACAGAAACCACACTGCCGGTCTATCAGCCACCCTCTGGTCCCCTGGATCGGGCCCTTCCCCTGCCTGCCTAGAGGTACAGAGGGCAGAACTGCCCACCTTCCCCCTCTGTATGAATTACTGGGGAAGTAACAAACGGACCAGGAACACACACTGAGTGGCTAGCTCCATTCACGTGCCTGGATGTTTTCCAAAGCTGCATATCCAGAAGTCGGTGAGAGTCACAGAGGGAGAGAGGACTGGGGACAGAGCCCTGCATGGGGACAGACCACACTGTCCCCACCACTGGTGCTGGCCAGCCAGGGATCCATGCAAGAGAAGATCAACTCAGCTTAAACCACAAGCTATAAGCTATCTCCAATACTACACCTAAACACACACACGCTAAACACAAAACCATCTTGGATCCAGCCATGCTGGGCAAACACTCTGGCCAGTGAAAGCTGAAAGGCCTCAGAGACAGCAGTTGGCTGGGGCACCCATCTTGCGTGTCCCCTCCAATCAGGTCCAGGGCTGCTGCCGAGGCCTCTGAGACTCACCTTCCGCCAGTCACTGAAGAAGTTCCTCTGGAAGACTTCCTTGGTCGTACACTCAAGATGCTGGATTTTCCCATAGAGAGTAGCGACCTCCTCCGCTGCCAAGCTCAGCCTCACCGGCTTTCCTGCAGAGAGCCCACGTGCTGACTGACTGAGGGACTGCCACAGGCCCAGTCCAGGTGGCACAACCTCCCACTTCAGTACAGTGTACTCTGTGCACACCCTGAGTAAAGAATGACCAGCATCCTGGTAAGGTAACGGTCACAGGATCCCAGAGAATCACCGTGGGATCTGCAAAGCCATCCACTCCTTTCTCTATTACAGCGAACCTTCCACTAAGTCTGTATTATGTGAAAAAGCTAACACATGTATTTCATTATTCACACACCGGACACAGGGAGCAGGGATACTACGCATGCCATTGAAGTGCCTGTGGAAGTCAGATTTGTGGAGTTGGCTCTCTCCTTCCATCTTTATGTGGGTCCCAGGGATCAAGCTCAGTTCACCAGGCCTAGTGCCTTTACTCATGAAGCCCATCTTGATGGTCAAAAAAAAAAAAAAAAGCAAAACAACAACAAAAAACACCCCAACAAACAAACAAACAAAAAACCCACATTTAAAAAAAACATTTTCATCTGTCTGCAGTTCTGGGGATGAACCCAGGGCCTCACGCACAACAGGAAAGCACTCCACCAAAGCTATACCCCTGAGCCTAACGTGTGCAATTCTAAAACACGGAGGAGATTACAGGAACAAAATAAAAGTCAATGTGTCACAGTGCGACCTTGTGGGCCATTGTAGGTTAATCCTTCCGCGCCCAGCGACTTCCTGCACTTCATGTAAAGCGGTGACAGAGGAGCACACAGGAGCCTAAACAGCATGGAAGTCTCTCAACCAAAAAGACTTGAGCAGCTGAAGACAGTGAGTCTGAGACCAGCCTGGCCTACGTAGTGAGTTCCAGGACAGCTAGAGCTATGTAGACAGACCCTGGAGAGACAGACAGACAGACAGACAGACAGACAGACAGACAGACAGAAGGTGTAGCCACACACCTTTAATCCCAGCACTCAGGAGGCATAGAAAGGAACACCTCTATTCGTTCAAGGTCAGTGTGGTCTACATAGAGTTTCAGGCCAGCCAGGGCTACCCAGTGAGACCCTGTCTCAAACTACCAAAACCAAACAAATGAACTGGAGCAGGTCCAGTCCAGTGTTCCACAGCATACAAGAACATACATGACACACACAGCACCTCTCATCAGGACTGCACTTGGGAGAGGTTAGAAGACCAAAGCAGCTCACCCCAACCTTGGGCAAGTCTAGACACAACTTGTGTCCCTGAAGCACAAACTATGTCTCTCCTTCTTCAGAGCAGCCTGGCAATGGTCATCTGTATCTGTGTGCAGTGTGTACACACACAGCCAATGGGCACCTATATCTACGTGCATGGGTGTGTACACACACACACACACACACACACACACACACACACACACACACACGTTTCTAGGGGACTCCAGCCTTGGCCCCTACCATCTATGCTATCTGCCCAGCCGTCAGGAATTTCCGAACCCCAGGCAGGGAAGAGGACTTGGCACCCGATTTTAGGAAGGTCAGCGAATCTTCTCAGAAAGTGAGCCCAAAGCACTCAGGCAGCCCAAACCCAGGAGTAGACACACCCGTGCCCTCACCATCATAGAAGAAGTGAACTCCATCAGGAAGGGGCTCATAGGCTGGGCTGAAGTATGGGCCCTTGTGTTCCAGCTGCCTCCACTTCACACTGCTCTTGCTCTTTTCTTCCCACCTGAAAAAGACAGAACACGTAAGTGGAGCCCTGTTTTCTCCACCCAGGCCGCAGGCCTTCGAGTCTTCTGCCTTGTGGATTTCTCCGTTGGCCTACGCTTCGCCTAGGAGCAAGTCAATGCCCGAAGAAAAGAGGGCAAAAGCTGACAGGCTGCCATACTCCAGGGTGCAGTTTGCCAGGGTGCAAACTAAGTAGAAAATGGGGCAATTCCCCTTTCTGAGGCTCAAGGGATCCCCAGCTTGGCCCCTCTGGAACCTCTTCACGAGGTCCCACAGAGAGCCCCTTGGTGTAGTCATCGCTCGTGGCAATTATAAGAGTGTGGCCGCTATGGGGAGCCCTGCGTGTGAGGAACAGGGAGATGACAGAGCAGGAAGATGGAGGTTATGACTGAAATACACAGGGGAGCAGTGAGGTGAGGGACGCAACAACAGGGACAGAGGCAGGGGATGCCGGGAGCTTTTGAAGAAGGGACTGATGTTGGGTGTGGCATAACTCCGATGGTAGGAACACGGCACGCCCTGGCTGACTCTCTACAAGGTTCTTGTCGTTTGTGTCCCAAACCTCTCAAAACAGAGCATCCTCTCCCAAGCTAGCCTCACTATGGAGCCAGTAGGACAGAGCCCAGCACGGGGCCACATCCTAACTGTATGAACTCTCCTATTCATCAGAACCTGCCCCAGGCCAGCACTGCACCACGTCCTCGGATACAGACATCAAGGGAAGCTGGATACTGAGATGCAGGGAGAAGGCGGAACAGGGCCTGGGAGGCTCCTTACCAGGAAGGACCCAGGTATCGGCATGGACAGAGGAGCAATCCTGGCCGGGGTGGGAGGAGGCAGACTGAGAGGAGCATTCCTAAAACCTTGGCTGGGTCTTCCCTAGGCACATGCCTGGGCCGAAAGCAGGGTGCCCATTGGCCAGACAGCCATCCTGGTTGGCTCAAATGTGTATCGTGTATCCTCTAAGGGTCAAGAGGCCTGCTGGAAAGGGTGAGGAAAGGCATTTTGTTTTTGTTTGTTGAGATCATGTAGCCTAAGCTAACCTCAAACTTGTAATGCTCCTGCCTCAGCCTCCCAAGTGCTGGGATTATAAATACATACTACCATGTCTGGCTTGACAAATATTTTTTTAAAGGGCTGTTCTTGTTGTTCCTGCACAAAAGGGATCAGGTGGAGTGGAGCTATAGTGACTGAAAGTGAGCGTAGGTAAGGAGGTCAGGGCACAAGGGACCAGGTCCTGAACCACAAGCAATTCCAGGTATGCTCTGAGAAAGGAAGGAACTGGACCGGGCTTCATAAACACTAGGAGCTCTGGCAAAAGAGCCAAAATTTGGATGCCTGAGGGGCAAGGGACATCCCTTGAACAATGCAGGAGGGAGAGTAAACTGGCGGCCAAATCCCATTCTACCTATCACATGGGTACAGGTGAGGAACTGTGCCTGCTCTAGCATCCTGAGAACTGAAGATGGCAGGGTGTGGAAGTGCATGACACGGACTCAGACCTCTTTCCTCCAGCATTCACCCCGGTTCCATGTCATAAAATGTGTACAAGCACCTTAGAACCTACACCGAGAGTGTTAAACATCTGGCGGATTCTCCCACCATCCCCATTTCACTGACAAGGACACTGAGTTTGGGGCAATAAACATTGTGGCACGAGAGACATTCCTTTGTCCCTGTTGGAGCCAAAGTACCAAGCAAGGCCATCAAAAGCAAGTTACCCGGATGGATGTCCTACCGTGCACTAGAACCCAGCCACTTCTACCAAGAGGCCCCAACTCAGCCTGTCTTTCCCTGCAATCCCTGGAGCCCAGCAGGCCTGCTGTAAAGGCTGACCCTGTCAGGGCTGTCTTCACTGTGAAACAACCCCCCCACCTCTGCCCGCGCCACCGCCCCCACGACTCCTGAGATCACACCAGGACACCCCCTTCCCAAACACTTAACTTAAAAATAATCCCTCAACAGAGAGAGCTCAGGCAGGCTGTGTGGTTCCGGGAACCTCAGTGCAGAAGGGCAAGTTTGAAAGGTCCAAATCTCACAGATTACCAGCTTGGACAGCCATCTCGACCCCTAGGAAGTCCAGCGGGGCATGCTGGTGATCTGGGGTAGCGACTGAAAGCTAAGGCCACGTGACAAAGAGTGTAGGCACCGTGGAGTGGGCCTGAGACCTCCCAGGGAATCTGGGAACCACACTCCAGGGCGACCTCCTCCAAACCAAACGCGGGAGCTTGGAGGTCCAGGCCCAACCACATGGCTGGCCGAATTTCCCAACGTGTCTGGTGTGACCGACCCCGCACGGGGGCAGGATTCGGCAAGTCGGTGACAAATGCTGCTTCCTGTCTCGCCTGAACTCCATCCCACCCGCCTTACCCGGCTCTGCTAGCCTTTGAGCCCCGGGACGCTTGTCGACAGGGAACGCGGAGGGACCCATGCTGGAAATGCCGATGCAAAGACCTGAGCCATAACAGCAGCATGCGTAAGCGTGCGTGGGCTCAGGCCGCCGTCTGAAGCCACGCCCTTCAGGCGGAGCCCCGCCCCCACTCTTCCTATAGCCCGCCCTCCCCACGCCCCTTGGGACGGCTTCCCTTGGGACGGCTTCCCTTGGGACGGCTTCCCTTACTAGGGCCAAGTAGCGCCTTCGCTCTCTCGTCTTCCAGCGCCTCTACCTGCCATGGCAGCCCGAAGAAGTCGTGACTAGACCCACATGGTCAGAGGCCCCTATCTACCTACCTAAGTGTCAAAACACCAAATGCCCACACCTCCAGGAGGACGTAGTTGCAGGCACCAGCTGTCCAGCCCAAAACAGACTCCCCTGGACGACTGACCAGCAGCACTGGAAGTCCTGTAAAGATCGCTCTTGCCCAGACCCGCCGCCAAGAGACCAAGGTCGTGAACCATAGGCACTTCCTTTTCCACACTCAGATCTCAAGACATTTGTACCAATCAGCAAAAAACTTCCAACCAAGCGGCCCGCTGGGCCCCAGCCAGCCGCAAGCAGCCTTGGTATTTCCACGAAAGCAGCCATATAACCCTGCTTCTGCGGGTGAACTAATAGGAAAGGTGAGAACGAAGCGGAGACCGACAGGCCCAGCGGGCCTTGTGGGTCCCGCCCACCATCACCAACTTAACTGGATTCCTACTGACATCTAGCGGCCTGAGGCAGGAACAGAGGCGGGGAGAGGCTATTGGGCCCCCTGCTGGACACAGCCAGCACTACAAAAAGTTTGCTAGGTATGGTCAACAGGCCGGCGAGAGGCTCTGAGAAGTGTGTTAGGCATTCCAGGTCTGTAGCTGCCTTCCCTGGACCCTCGCGTCCTGGAAGGCCAGCTGGGGTTGTCCAGGTTTGGGAGCACGGCATCACAGCATTCAGATCCTCACATCAGGTGCTCTGCATGAGACCAGGCTTGAGAAAGCATTTCAGGTGGACAGTGATGAATACTGGAGCTGACAGACCTCCTGACCCCAAAGCCCACCATCAGGCTGTTCTGTGACAGCAATGTCCGCTGAAGGAGGGCTGTCCTACACTGTGGAGGAGACACAGTTCAGGCTAAGGAGGGCCATTTGACTTCAACACACACACTCAATACAACCATCTCATTACGACTAACATATGAGCCTTTTCACATCGCTTTCCTCAACTTGATGGGCTACGATGGCCTGTGCCTGCCTCTGAGAGGCCATCATCAGCTCCTCTCCCAGACAAGTTTTAATTTCTCTGAAGCTCAGCCTTCGCCAGCACCTCCCTCATAAGGTCTGACCAGAGCAAGGACGCATACTCAAAACTTCAACCACCTTGATAGCCAGTCAGCCAGCCTAGCCAAGTAGTGAGTTCCTGAGGGTGTCCTTCATTTGCACATACACATTCTCATAGATCCATGAACATGGTGCGCGTGCACACACATGCATAGCTCCACTTAGAGCGGGCCTCCTCTGAATTGCAACTCACACCTCCCCAATCACCTACAGCACAGAAGACTGCCCCCGCCGTGGTCCTGCTGTTTGCCATCTGCTCTTGCTGCCTCCTCAACATCCTGCCCTCCCTTTGTTGATATTTTTTTTCAGTTTCCTCTCAAAGCTCCCCAGCATCATCTCTCATCCTATCTCTGAGACTCTTAGCTGTACCCCCTCCCAGTTCTGTATGCTGCCCCCAGCCCTGGCAGTTGCCGGCGAGCTCACTCTCACAGCATACGTGTCTCTGAGTGGGCTGTGTGTCCTGCTCCAGGGTTTGCTCTCCCAGTCCCCCCTCCGGTGGTCTCTTCTGCTTTCCCTTTCTTCTCTCTCTTGGGAACCAAAGCTTCCAGTTTAGACCTTCCAGACAGTGGCTTATCTCCCAACCCTGTGTTTCCACCTAACATGCCATTTTCTTCTCTCTTGGCCCCTTCAGCTCACACATCAAGCACCTCCTTTCCTGTGGTCGCTGTTCCTCTCCAGACCCAGTCTTCCTGGCCCCTGGGTCTGGCCAAGCTTTCCGTGGGCACTGCTGTCCATGAAGCCGGCCACTGCCTGTCTCCTGACATGGTATGTTCTTAAGTCCTTTCTCCTTTTCTTCTTCAGATTTCGTCTCCTTATTTTCTTCCTGTCCTCTTGGATTTTTACACAAGCAGCACCAGCACCCCTGCTCTGCTTCATTTGTCTCCTTCATGCTCTGTTCTTGGGTCTGGAGGTACAGCCTCACAGAGACCCCCTTCATGTCCACTGACAACCACCTTCTTCCTGTCTGTGGGACCTCCTGGGAGCCCGGGGACTCAGCACATGAGAAAACATACTGTGAGCGAGCCACATCCTAGACAGCACTTGACTGAGACAATCAGAGCGAGGACTGCTTCACCAAGCCCTGGCTCTTTTGTTGTTCGTTTACACTGGAAACTGATTTAGTATCTAAAGGCTAGATGTCATAAAATCAGAACACATTTGCACAGTGTGTGTGTGTGTGTTTGTGTGTGTGTGTGTGTGTGTGTGTGTGTGTGTGTAACATGTAGAAGACATCAACTTAAAATTGAATGAACTTTAACGTCCATGGCACACAGGGTCAGTGGGTAAAGCCTGATTATTTGCATTTCATCCCAGAACCATGTTCAGTTTGAAGAGAATCAACTCCGACAAGCTATCCTCTGACCTCCATAAGCATACCATGGCACACAGGCACACACACAAAAGAAAGTAAACGATAAGTAATTTTTAAAAGCTATTTACACAGTGTTGTTCTACTATTTCTACTGTAAAACATATCAAGTACTTCTTCACTTGACCATAGGCAATCAATACATCAGTCACTTAGGCCTAGATAGTCACCTAGGACTAGATATGTCACACAGAACCTGTCTACTCTCCACACGGCATTTGCAAATAAAATTATAAGGAGTGGCTATAAGCTGAGAATCCAGTAGTCTTGCTGCCATGTGGGACCATGCTTCTGCTGCTGGGTCCCCAGTGAGCAGCTTCCCTGTGCAGCCATGGACCTGTCTCTTTCTTCATGTCAGCCACTCCCACTTTACACACTGAGCTGGGTGGTTCTGGAACATAGTGCTAAAGAGAAGTGAGGTGAATTCTCTATCCTGCCCCTCTGTGGATGCAACTCCATCATGGCCTGGGACAGCCCCAGGCCCAGGGTGGATGGTGTCTTTGGGGGTCTGCGGGAAGTGCCAGGTACTGAGCCCGGCACACAGGGCCACACTCTAGTCACTGGTCAGGCCATCCCTGAGACCCACCTTTACAGGCACACCTTTACAGAAGAAGCACAGTCAGAACAGTCGGGACAGGGCCCACGAGAGGCAAGCACTCAGGAAGATGATCTGGTATGGATACAGGATACAGGAATCCAAGGACACCAGCCTGAGTCTGCTGATCTCTGCAGGAGAATGCAAGCCCAAACCACGGAGACCTGGCTGGCCCTGCCAGATCTTTCTGAACACATGAGTGCTCATGCATACACACACACACACACACACACACACACACACACACACACGTTGTCATTGCGAGGTGTCACTCACACACCCATGCAGAACAGAGCCTCTCTGAGCCCCAGGCTGTACTCTCGCACCACTGGCTGGCACTTGAGCACACAGAGTTTTTCTCTGTTTTAAATTAAAACACTGATTCGTCTTGCATTAATTTGAGTAGTAAAGTTTAGCACCCACTCGGGGCCTTCATAAAATATACAAGAGCACATCACACAGTTTCAGAACACAAGAGGGGGCAGAGTTCACACTTGAAGCTTCTGATAAAATCGATCACCAGAAAGATGGCAAAGTTCCGCTCACACGCCTCTTTTCCACAGTAAGCCCAATAGCTGTCACTGCTTCTAAAATAATCTGAATCTTTTTAGATCCACCTGACTTTTAAACAGCTATGCATAAAGCCTTGCCCTAGGGGTTGAGGTCACTCTGGGAGAGGCCTGCTTTTCCTTAGTAGTGGGCACACAGACCCACCATGTCACACTCTCCTGGCTGGAGACATGGGCATTGGGGCATGCCTTGCTTTGAGGCAGGTTTGCAGAGGGACATTGCCATTTGTTACCATGCATGAAAACTCACATGAAGCTTATTTCTCAGCTCCTGTGTGGCTGAGGGTCCCTTTAGCTCAGAGGTCCAACAGCCAACTTGAAGGCCTCAGAGGAGGGTGAAAAGAAAGGAGCTGTTGGGATTCCCAGCAAGAAGTCTGAGGCCAGATTGCCCCCCCCACCCCGAAGATATCTTCAGGGTAGAGAGTGAGAACTGCGCCAGAAGACACTGGGAACCAGAGTTTTGGATCGGGCCTTGCCTTCAGATCTGCTTTCCAAGATCCCAGGAGATCGTGAAATATATTTTAAAGGCTGGAGCAGAGGAGAACTAAAAGGGTCTCATCGTGAAGGGAGGTCACCGTCCAGGAAATTTTCTTTCAGGGTCTCATGTAGCTCAGGTAGGCCTCCTACTCATGTAGCTGGAGATGACACTGAACTCTTCATCTTCCTACTTCCACCTCCCAAACCCTGGGATTCCAGGGACCTGAGTTGTAAGGAGACTTGAGAGTTACTGCTGCAGTCTGGCGGGCAGAATCTTCCTGCGTTAAGGGTGGACTCCTGGGGTGGGAAAGCCCTTCTCCCTGTCCCAGAGTCCCCATCAGCTCCCTCTTTCAGGGAAGGCCCAGCCACATGCTGCTCCACACAAGCTTCCCACCTCTGAGTCCCTGCACAGTGAACAGAAAATGTGCCATGGGAGTATAGAGAGAACAACAAGAGACTAAAACCCCTCGAGTTCACACAGGACTTCCAGCCCTGCCAGGTGGCCCTCTGCCACATGCTTCGTCCAAGGATCCTTGTAGCCTTTGTGGTCCTTGTGGCTTCGGAAGATCCATTTCCAAGCCCTCCTTCAGATCTAGCTGTGGGCTATGCCAACACTGGAGTCTGGGTACTGCAAGGTGTGGCTGGCAGGGCTCTGGACTGACACAGGACCTAAGCCCAATCAGCTGTCAGTCTCAAAGTGGCTGACAAAGCAAGGCCACTCAC